GGATGAGAGGAGCAAGACCAACCTTGCACTCCTGCCCAAGGAACGGGCTTCTTCGACCCTGCTGTCAGTCAGCAGCTCCTCCTGCTTCCAGCTGGAGCAGCCCCACGAAGGCAGCAGGGCAGCAGGCTGAGCGTGCAGGAGGCAGCTGAGCCCACAGCGAGCCCTCCCCTCGCCTCCCCTTCCCACCTCGTCTGCCTGTTTCCCCCCCTTGTTGCTGGGAGGAAAACTTGCACAGATGGCGAGTTGCTCCAAAAATATTACTTGAAGACAGCAAAACTCAATTTCACTTAAACTGCTAGATAGCTGTGGACCGGTGCCAAAGCAGGCATTTGGGCTGAGGTACTTGAGAATTTATTTTCTTTCTCTTCCCTCCCCACAGGCACTCAGTGATGGTATCACCTACACCTAGACTGAAGTTTGCAAGGTTCAAGCTATACTGGAACTCTATGGGAAATTGATGAGTGAAAATCATTTTTATAATGTCACAAAATGTTTAATGAACTCTGCAACAGCACTCGCAGGCCCCAGAGCACCAGGGGCCGGTTTAAAAGAGAACCTTGACGTTTGGTGAATGGTGATAAATAACTGAACTGCAGCATAGAGCACTATTTATTCTCAGAAACTATTTTTATCGGAAAAATTCCCAACTCTTGTAATGTTTTTCTACACTCTAAGTCTTTACTGTCCTGTTTTAGATGCCATTGATTCAATGGAATTCTCCAAGCCTTGTGCTCTTAAGGCTCAAACATATTAATATATCTTTATTAATATGAGGAAACTGGATTTTGTTGCAAACAAAACTCATTCCACATTCACTTTTCTCATCACCCAAAAAAAATTTATGTTCTCTCAACCTTTTATCTGAGAGACATTAAAAGTAGTCTGCACTTCATTTTTAAAGGTAACTTCAGTTTTTAAAAAGTCACTCCCACATATGTAAATAAGCATGGAAGTGAGAAAAGTTAGGAAAATAAAGCACCCAACAGCAAAAATCCCACTAGCTTCTTCATATTTCTTAATAATGGAAATCATCATAAAGCCAGTGTAGAGGATGGTGCCAGATTGGATATTTTAAACAACTAGACAGTTCTATTGCTTCTATACAATAAAGTGAGACTTAATGGTCCAGCTTTGAACATGTAGCCACAGCATGGTAGAGATGGAGGGGAAAAAACATACATACATACATATATATATATATATATATATATATCTTTTTCTATCATAATAGAGTAGGCAACTGCTTAAAAAACTTAATACACCAACTACATTTATTTACTTACTATGTCAAATATAAATACCATATAAAAGGATGCCCTAGGTTTTTACCTTTTCACAGCTGAAAGGGCGGTGAGAGCCTGAAGAGGGTCAGAAAATCATTAATGAACTCAGAATCACAGAATCAGCTCTTATGACAACTCCGAGCAAACAAAGTTTTAAGCAGAAAATTCGATACTGACTGCCAAATTGTATTTCCTGATATGGTTCAAGCTCATGATAAAGACAGTGGCATTAAAGACTTCCTCTAGTTGATGGCCATTGATGGTTTGCAAAGTATATTGAAGTAAACTACCTAGCTGTCTTCAGCATTACTGCTGACACCAGTGACATGATGTGAAGTGTCATTCACTGGGAAGCTAGTGACAATGGAAGATACGCCTTTTCTCAAACTGTTTGGTTGCTGCTATGTTAATTCACAGGGAAAGAGCTCTTAAATTTATAATGCTCCATGAATTAATGCAATAAAAGGCTAAAACCATATTATAGAAGATACTGTTCATTCCTTTAAGCTCATTCTTTTCTCCTCAATGCTTCCTGGAGAAAGTTGGTTGGAGAAAACTGGCTTAGATTATCCACTTAGATTTCCCCTAAACTCCCCTCAAAAGCACTTGGAATATTTCACAACGCACACTTTCCTGTTTTCCTCCATTGGAGGGAAAATTCTACACACTCAGCACAGCACAATGGATAATGATTTCCAAAGCATTAACTTGGAGCCTTTGAGGCTGGGATGTTTTCAAAATGAACCCATTGCACACAAAGGATTCTAGACTACCCCAGCAACTCCAGAAGCTGGAGCCTTTCTTCCCGCCTCAAAACATCCATTCCTTGAGCCATCCCTGGAGTGCATTGTTGGGGCCGATTCCTTAGAGCGACGAGTTCCATCAGTCAAAGCTTAACAGATACAAATAATATCAGGATATGGATATAAATTAGTAAGACAGACCCTAAGTGGTTTTGACAGGTTTGGTAAGTATATATAGCGACACAGAATGCTATCCCTGCTGTCAGACATCAATATGTAGACAGAAGATTGGGGGCACCATGGAAACTCGGCAACATAAGAGTGGTATTGATTGGACAGAAAATGAGGCTGCAATTTAAGCTTAAGACTGCCAGAAATGCCAAGAATGGAGAACGACCTCCAGCCGTGAATTTGCAGCATAAGCTCCCTGTGAACAGGCCGGTCCAAGAAGGATAAATCAGGGACAAGCTCACCAGGGATATGGGTCGGCCGAAGGCAGGCGACCCTAAGCAGAGGAGAATGTGCGTGTGTGCGCGCGCGTTACAGTGACCTAGTTCGCTCAAAGGCAGCATTTTGAATGGTTTATTATGAAGAGGCTTGAAACAAAGAGGTTTCCTCAATTAAAGCCCTGAAATGCATCCTCTAGATAAAAATGCCTTTGATACACTGATCAGCAAGCGGTTGTAAATATCGAAGCAAAGCTTGCATTGTTTCCCAAAGACCAGTTCCCACAGCAAACACCACTGCTGGGAGCAAAGGCAATGAGGGGGCCTGAACAGAGCAACAGGTTTCATCAGCAAAACCAGTTCCATCCAAAACACCCTAGTGCAACACCTCAGTAGTATATAAGACATCTCTTCCCTGCTGAGAAAAACGCACTAAAGTAGAACAGACTGTGTGTTAAACTACTGTATTTTCAGAGCGGCAATGAAAGGCTATTATTAATTGTTATCTGAGGCCTCAGGAAGGACTGTTCCCAGGGTGACCAAAAGGAAACGCAGGACAGGTCTGCAAAGCATCTTGCCAGAGCTGTTGCTGGTGCAATCAGTTAAGTATGAATATTCAGTTTAGCAAGAGAAGCTCAATCTACTCAAAACCGCCATCAGTGGAGCTGACAGGAATAAGATACATCTCAAAAATGTCCTCAGTGTCGGTACTGGCACAGCAGGAGAACAAACTTTCCTACAAAAAAAAAAAAAAAATCCAGTTCCATATTATCAGTAGCAGAATATTAGTACATGGTACTGGGATGGCACTATGCTTTGAAATGCTGTAGTAAAACCAACCTTCTGCTGGCAAGCATTTATCAGCCACAAATTGCATCTGAAATAAATGGTGCCAGACATCTAGATACTGGTAAAAGTCTGTTTTTCTTAAGTTGCCTGTACACTATAAGCAAAAAGTTCTTTGCAAATTTGTCATTTGTAAATTGCTGGCTTCACATTTCCTTCTCCTTCCATCCTTGAGCTTGCTCTGGAGTCAATAAGCATCTATCCTTTGATTTCACCAGAAACTCCTTAAGTCATCAAAGAGTTTAGGAGTTTAGCTCTACACTCCAGTCAAGTATATAATTAAACCTCTGCTTTCTAGCTCCCCCTCACCAACTTTTTTTTTTTATTTTTTTTTTCCCTCTCCAGAAAGTCACTAAATCATCTGTTTTTTGTTTGTTGTTTTATTTTTTTTTCCCCTCTCTCCAGTTGATCACTCTCTAACTAACTGCCTTCTCCCTCCAATTTCATCCCCTACAACAAATTAACAACTTCTTTCATGCGCAGGCAGCTCTCCTTTCCTCTTGGCTCCATTTCAGAATAACTTTTTTGTTTGTTTAAATAATATTTGTGATGTTTGGCAGGGAAGAAACAAACACACACAGAACAAACTAAAGTTTGCTCTGTAGATCGGCTCAAGCATCCTGCCCAGAAAATATATCAGCAGCATTTCTTTATAACAACCCTTCCCTTCTCCCTCTTCCGCTACCATTCTTCCTATATCAATGCAAGGGGAGGTATATACACAATCCATTCTTATCCCCAAAAGTTGAACTTTGCGAAAAGCTGGGAACAGCCAAGGTCTGAAGGAGAAACAGGACAGGGGCAGAAAGTTCAAGGCTGGAGGAATCACAGGACAGAGGAAAAGAATCAACGCGGCACAAACCAACGGAGGATGCTCCTAAGGCAATTCCAGGCTTGCATCCCCGAATCCAGGTTCGGAGCTGGAAGCTCCCGCCCTGGGGCGTCCGTCCAGCAGGAAGGGAGACGCGCGCGACGTCCAGCAGGAACAAGTGGGAGCGGAGGAGCGCCCAAAGAAATGGGACTTTTTCTCCCCTCCCTCCACAAAAGGCTTTACTTTTTAAAGGAGAGGACCAAGGACTGGTTAAGGAGTTAAAGAAACGTATGCTGGAGATCATGGTGTATTTGCAGACTGGTCTGTTAAGAAAGAGCTAATTTTCACCAGTGCCAACTCTAGTTTTAAGAGGAAAAGACGAGGGAGGGGTAAGAAGCAACAGGGACCGACGCTGGAGACGGTGACCCATTTGCAGGACAACCTGCCCCCCGGCAGGCACAAAGCTCTGCTTTCCCACCCGTGTTAGCTCCCGCTTTCCCCCCGAGCCCCGCTCCGGGGAAGGCGGCAGGCACAGCCCGGCGGCGGCCGCTCTCCAGCGCACGAGCCGCACGCACCGAGCGCCGGCTCGTGCCCCCGACGGCAACGCGGGGCCCGGCTCGACGCTGGCGCTAGCCCTGCGGAGAAAAGCCGGCGGCTGCGGAGCCCCCGGGGCGCGACTCCCCGCAACGCCGGCCCGGGACGGCGCGGGGGGTCCCCAACAGCCCTGGGGGGGGTCCCCAGCACCCTCCTGCTCTCCCGGCGCCGCTCCCCGGCCCCTCTCCCGCTCTTCCCGCGCGCGCCGCAGGTGGATCCCGGCTCGCCGAGGGCCGGCGGCGGCCGCGGAGCCCCCCGCGCCGCGGCACCGACTTACGTGGCCGGGGGGCTCTGGCGCTGGAGCCGGGAGCGGCGGGCGCGGCGGTGCCTCCTCCTGCACGGGCTGCTGCTGCTGCTGCTGCTGCTGCTGCTGCTGCTGCTGCTGCTGCTGCTGCTGCTGCTCTCCCCGCGCGCCCTCCCGCTCTCCGGATCGGGATTTTTGTATTTTTATTATTATTTCCCAATCTCGCAGGGTTTCTACGCGCGGGACGCGCCGCGGGGAACGCGCTGCCGCCGCGGAGCGCCGAGGCTGCCGAGTGCGGGGCCGGCGGCGCGCGCGGCCCCTCCCGCCCGCTGATTGGGGCGGCCGCGGGTCAGCCGCGGGGCAGCCGCGCCCCGCGCGCGCGGGGGAGGGGGCGGCGCGGAGCGCCGCTCGGGGGTGTCCGCCGTGGGGCGTGGGGGCGGCCCCACACAACGGGCTTCCCGAGGAGCCCCCCTGGGCTGCCCCGTCCCTGCCCGGGGTCCCTGGGGGGCTGTGTAAGCGTCACTGCGGGGCTCTGGGGGAGGGCTGCCCCACAGCCCTGTGTAACCGTCACTGCGGGGCTCTGGGGGGGGGGCTGCCCCACAGCCTTGTGTAACAGTCACTGCGGGGCTCTGGGGGGGCTGCCCCTGCCCCACACAGCCCTCACTGAGTGGCTCTGGTGGGGGGCAGCCTCGTAGCTGCCGCTGCGGGAGCTCTGGGATGGCCGCCCCATGGCAGCCACTAATGGGGCTTGGGATGACTGCCCCACTGCTGGCTTCACAGGGTCCCCCAGGACAGACACCCCATRGCCACCAAGGAGGCTCCAGGGCAGYGGCCCCACAGCAGCCGCTGGCCGCTGAACGGACTCAGGGGTGAGGGCCCCACAGCTGCCTGCCGAGAGGAACATCAGGGCCGCAACCACCATTTTTCACTGTCTTTTGCTGCCCCACTAACTGGGAAAGCGGAGCGTTAACTTCAGCCCCGCTGGCTTCCAGCTTGCTGCTGGGTCTGTGGCAGAGTTGGACTAGAAATGTTTTTTTGGTTTGTTTTTTGTTTTTTTCTTTTTATGGGGAAGTGGAGGGAAAAAAATAAAGCAAGCAGCTTTTAATTTCAAATGGAGCTGTGAGTAGCATGAGAACAACTTTTGTGGTGGCACTTCAGCACTTCTGGGTGTATTGGTTGCTGGAGTTGTGTCAAGGCTTTCATTTAGGAGCGGGCCTTTCCAGCTTTTAGGTTCATTACATCCACTGAATAAGAGCATTCCCTAGTCCACAGCTTAATTTGAAACTAAGTGGACTTGTTCCAAAGCCCCAGCAATTTCTGTGTAATTCCCAACCGCCAGAGCAATTCCCTGGGCTCCGTCTGAAAGACTTGGCGTGTTGACAGGTTGGGTCTCTGCTGGGAGCGCGGCGCGCAGCCCCTGCTCCAGGTCTGTGCAGAAATCCAGTTCAGGCCCTCCTCCTGTTTCCAGAGGAATGAGCTAATAAAGTAATTTGTCTGGCACTGTACGCACTGCATCATCTAACACCTACCATCTGTGACAATGGAAAGCACTGTGTGGCTAGTCCCAGCGTGGGCAATTGCACCTACCTGGCTTCCTTCTCCGTAAACTACCCTTTTCCTTCCATCTGYACCTTGGCATCTTCTTTCCATCTCACGGTTACACGTATAGTTCTGGCATGGCCATGAAGGATTTGCACCACTGGCAGGTTTAATGACAGTGATGTAATTTAAAACAACTTCGACTCGCAGAGCAAAGCAGTGGGTTCAGGTGGAGGGAATGGTCTTTCTAGCAACTGGACGAGTGGAAATGAGCACTCAGTAGTGTGTTTCTTTATTTCTTTATTTCTTTCCTCCCTCACAGAAAACCTAGTCTTAGCTAAAACACTTTGCATTTTCAGTTTTTCAGTGAATAGAAACTTTCTGCAAAGAGCAACCACTTCTCTCAGAGATGTGCATGTCAGAGGACATTCTTTTTCCATTACATTTTGAAGGCAATGTCAATAGACAGTTTTGAACTAAGTCCGATGGTATCTTTTCTAGATACCTACCTTTCCATAGCTCAGAAATGAATTTCCTGAGACAGAGTTTACATGCACCCAAACTATTCTTGTGTGATGGAGCTTAGGTTTWGATTCAGAAAATCTGAAATAAAACTGAACTCCAGGTTACCCAAGCTTCTCAGCAGAAAAATTATGATCTGAAAGAATTCTGATTAAAAGTGAAATGTCTCAGTCTTAGATGGACAAAAAGTAAATGTGTGTTTCAGTATTAACATAATTTCTATCTCAATGGCACCTTGAGGCTTAAGTGAGGTTTCCATTGCAATCGGCATGGTACAAATACAGAAAAGATATTTTTTTGCCCCAAATTGCGTACTGTGTTTGATGCCTTTGAAACTAATGGACTATAACAACAACTGAATTTCCTGACTGAGCCTTTGCTTTTGGGATAGCACTTGAAAACACATAGGAGAGCATGAGACAGTAGATTTTGAGAGAAATGATATAATTTCTTTTGCCAGGAAAAAAGGTACCTACTGTGCTGGTTCCTAGTGGGAAAGAGGAACARGACAGCATGGACCAAGGAGGATCTAGGAAGATAGGTATAGCCAGTTACTTGGTGCAGTAATTTTTTTCTTATTAAAGAACTACCAATTTGGAGAGGTTTATCTCAAGAAACTCTCTGCTGTTTGGTCTGTCTTTCCYTTCTTTTAACCAGTGCTTTGTTTCTGGAACATTAGTAGCCTTATTTAAGTCTCTTGTGACATGCAGAAAATATCCATACTGAAAAATAGCCTTTGAAAATTGCTTTTCTGGTCTGGATTCACAGATAGAAAGAAGGTTTAGCTCTCAAATTTCCTGGCAAACTTACCCTTAAAATTCTTGACATTTGTTTACAGCTGCTGGTTTCATATTGATCAATAAAACAAAGGTGAAGAATGGACTGACAGCTGTACAAGTCTGATTTCTACTTTCACATATCATCTTTGCTTTCCACACAGCATCCCAATGAAAAGGAGAAAATGAAAAGGGCAGAAATTATTTCAAAGAGAAGAGTGAGGGTTAGGCAAATACTAAGTTACAAAAAAACCCTCTGACTAAGGTCATATGTGGATGTTCTAGTCAACAATCCAAAAGCCAAATGTATTATATCCCAAATATTTCTATCAATAAGTGTTGAAGCAAAAAAAAAAGAAGTAAAAAGAAGCTCCCAGCATTAGATGTAGAAACCCTCCATAATAGATTTCCTCTCACTGAACGTTTTCCTTTGGAAGGTGTTGAACACTTAAGTGTTCCATCTGAACCTGGGGTATTTCACTGCTTCCAGGTAGTTGTTTCATATGTGCCCTGAAGAAGATGGTTATTACTCAGATTTCATCACCTTTTAACGGGAGTTTAAGGGCTTCTTTCCTAAGATGCCCTTGAGCGGATCTGATTTTAACCTCTCAGCCTACAAAGCCAGAACACAAGGCTTTACATAATTTACTCCCAATGAGTGTTTCCATGTTCTTGCTCCCATTGCTGAGTAGAACGGGGCTGTGCTTTTCCAAAAGCAAACAAAACCACCTGCACACCAGTGAAAAGGTCAGCTTGGGCTGAGCYCCCTTTGTTTCGGGGATACTGTAAATATCAATTTCTTTCTCTCACCCTCCCTAGCCCTCAGCAACAGCGGCTTCCAAGAAAACGTAACGTGATTCCAGGAAAAGAAACAAGAGAACTCGAGAACAGTTTAAAGATTTTTTTCACCTTTTGCTCCACTGTTGTTCCCAGGCTATTGAGCTGCCAAACCTCAGCCCATGAGTGCCCCTCATGCCTACCCCAGTAGGGTCAGATTTCCATTAGTGATACTGAATTATTTAGTGAATGCATCGAACACTGAAATCAGCTACTTGGGAGCTGTTTTGCTTCTCACTCCATCTTTCATTTCAGGCCCACACAATGGCAGGAATATTGTCACAGAGTATCAATCCTATAATTAGAGTGGAAAAAATCCATGGAGTTCAAAAATAATAATTCATGCCTCACTCTCTAGTGTTAAAGAAATCCAGTATATTAAAAATCACTTTTCCTAGATATATGTGAAAGAAGGCAAAAAGAGATTCCAAGCGCAGAAAAGGGTTTTGTGGGTTTTGGTTTTTTAGCATGCACTTGTGCTAAAAATTTAAGATATTTTCAAAAAAAGACGATGTCCCAGGACTTGACCTCACTCTTCAGTCACCAAACTTTGAACACATGTTGCAACATTACACATTTGACTGACTTTATTTTCTACAGTAAGATTAGTGCTTCTGTGCTTGAAATTATTCATGTGCATATGTCAACATGTTCATTTTTTATTGATTTTGCAGTTTGGGGTAAAAAAAAAAAGGGGGGGGCAAAATGTCATTTTATTTTGAAGTGCCAAGTCATTTTTACTCTATTTTGGCTTATTGCCACTATGGGTAAAATCTGTGCAAAAGGCAGAAATAAAGTGTTGCTCAATTACAACAAAATCCTCTAAAAAAGGCATTTTGATTTGGTTTAAAACTTCTTGCAGGAAATTAATGAATAGAATGCGCAGTTACTTTTCAAATTATCTTAGGAAAAACTTGATTTGAAAATTCCATTTTTTCTGAAGTTAGTTTTATCTAAACTCTTAACTGTTCTGTAAAAAAAAGTCTTTAAAAGTAGATGCTTTAAATGGCATTTACTACCTTACAAATCCAGTCCTTGATGCTTCATTATGACTTTCAGATAATTCTGAAAGCCATAATATAATATATAAAAAATATATAAATATAATTCATAGTATTAAATAGTTTTCCATTGGGCATGACCTGATACGGTAAATCTTATTCTTAGTGACAAGGCAGTAATAAAAAAAAAAAAGTGAGGCCCTAACTTAATGGGCTGAAGTGATGCAGAAGTGAAAAACATTTTGTGTTTTGGTAGCACRAAGCTATCACTGGGATACTCTTTGTGTGGTGCACCATATTATGGTGCAAACAGCACAGCTCTAAGCTGGATGTATGAACAACGAAATTCTACTTAATAAAATGTTTTCTTACAATTCAAAATATGATTTGTGTGTCAATTTGTTAAGGA